CCTCTTCAAAAAAACATCTATGGGAGTTAAACCTGAGCCGTTTCCCTGGGACACTGTTGAGTCAGCTTGGCCCTTTTGAGGTGGCTCGTGTGAGCGAGTCAGTTCACTTCCACCCTCTTTTCCCTAAGCTCCATTCCGTCTCCCGCACGGTATGCCGATGCAGGCAAGTCCTCGGCTGCCGAGCACAAGGAAGGCCCAAATTACTGTTGCTCAGCAAGACAGTTATTTTGAGTTTGGCCCCATTTTATGATATTTTTGCCAGTCGTTAAGCGAATCACTGCAGTTGTTAAGTGAATCTGGCTTTGACTTTGCTTGTTGGAAGGGGATTGCGTGACCCCGGGGGATACTGCAACACCGACATAAATAGGAGTCAGTGGCCAAGTGTCCAAATGTTGATCAGGGGACCACGAGGTTGCTGCAACGGTTGAGTGACAAACGGTCTTAAGTAAGGAAAATGGCCGTTAAGGCACTCGTTTTCAATGCAGTTGTAACTTCAAGTAGTCACTGAACAAATGGGTGTAAGTTGAGGACTATTGTTCTGGGTTAGAAAAGAATTTAGCCAGGTATTTCTCAACCTCAGTCCCTTTAAGATGAGTGGACTTCAACTCCCAGAATTCCCCAGCCGGCTGGCTAGGGAATTCTGGGAGTTGAAGTCCACCTGTCTTAAAGGGGCTGAGGTTGAGAAACATTGATCTAGTCCAGGAGTAGGCCACCTTGGCTCTTTTATGACTCATGGACTTCAACTCCCAGAATTCCTGAGCCAGCCATGCTGAGGGGAAAGGGAGAGGTTTCCAAGCTGAGCCAGGCTGGCTCAGGAATTCTGGGAGTTGAAGTCCACGTCATAAAAGAGCCAAGTTTGAAGACCCCTCAGTTAGAGGAACATATGAAAGCATAATTAATGTTAATTAAGGTAGACTTTATTAGTTTAGAGTAGGCAACCTTGGCTCTTTTATGACTCGTGGACTTCAACTCCCAGAATTCCTGAGCCAGCATGAGAGAAACTTTGCCCCTTCATGACTCGTGGACTTCAACTCCCAGAATTCCTGAGCCAGCCATGCTGAGGGGAAAGGGAGAGGTTTCCAAGCTAAGCCATGTTGGCTCAGGAATTCTGGGAGTTGAAGTCCACAAGTCATGAAGGGGCCAAAGTTTCCCTCATGCTGGCTCAGGAATTCTGGGAGTTGAAGTCCACGAGTCATGAAGGGGCCAAAGTTTCCCTCATGCTGGCTCAGGAATTCTGGGAGTTGAAGTCCACGAGTCATGAAGGGGCCAAGGTTGCCTACCCCTGACCTAGTCATTTCCTATGTTAGTAAGATCACAGCTTTAAATGAACTAAGTTTCTGTTACTCCAATGCTGCATGTAGTAAGCTGGCCGAACCACTTGGGTGTAAAACCACTTGTTACCACTGAGAAATAAAAACTGTGTTTTACCAGGCCCCAGGAGCACCAAATAT